GGGGGTGGGAGGGATGGGGTGGCTGGGTGATAGACATTGGGGAGGGTATGTGCTATGGTGAGCGCTGTGAATTGTGCAGGACTGTTGAATCACAGATCTGTTCCTCTGAAACAAATAATGCAATATATGTTAAGAAAAAAAAAAGAAGAAGAAGATAGCAGGAGGGGAAGAATGAAGGGCGGGAAATCGGACAGGGAGACGAACCATGAGAGATGATGGACTCTGAAAAACAAACTGAGGGTTCTAGAGGGGAGAAGGGGTGGGGGAATGGGTTAGCCTGGTGATGGGTATTAAAGAGGGCACGTTCTGCGTGGAGCACTGGGTATTATGCACAAACAATGAATCATGGAACACTACATTAAAAACTAATGATGTAATGTATGGTGATTAACATAACAATAAAAATTAAAAAAAAAAAGAATTCCTCTTGCCTTTGCTATGAGTTCTATGGGAAACAAACAGATGAGATGAAGGTTCTGTTTATGGAAGTATCCAGCTAGTAAACGAAAAATGAATGACAGACTTAGTATATCTAACGGATCAATGGATTTAGGCACTGAGCATTGATCCCTGGCTATTAGCATTAAAAAAGAGAGGTACCCAGACATTATGTGTCTCCTGAAAGAACATCCCACCACCCATGAAGTAACCTGACCTATCCTCAAATAAATAATTTGAACTCAAATCTGATTAAGACTTCTCTCTCTCCCCAAAAAAGCAAAACAAACCAGAAACACCAAAAACCAAAATACAATTTAATCTTGAATCTGGTCTGATTTAATCTTGAATCTCTAGATCCAACTATCAGTTTGTAGGCAGGTACAGGAATATGTTAAACTGCACTGCAGATGTAATCAAATAACCCAGAACAACCAACCTAGTTTCTTCAACAAAATGCAAATAAAAAAGTGGGAGTGATGGAAGGAACCTATAGATCTACAGAGATTTTTCTAATTGTGTCAACCAACTACAATATGTGGCTGTATTTGTATCCTGATGCAAACAAAATTGGAAACTTAAACATGGACTATTCAGTAACATTAAGGAATCTTACTTAGGTGTAATGGTGGGAGTATGAATATGTATTTAAAGTTCTTATATATTTTTTTTAAAGATGTATTTATTTTAGAGAGCAAGAGAAAGTATTCACAGACTTGAGTGGAGAGAGGGGCCGAGGAAGAGACTCTTAAGCAGACTCCCCACTGCACATGGAGCCCAAGTCGGGTCTTAATCTCATGACCCATGAGATCATGACCTGAGCTGAAATCCTGAATGGGATGCTTAACTGACTGAGCTACATAGGCACAAGTTCATATCTTTTAGAGAAGCATTCTGACATATGGGATGATATAATGTCTGGAATTTGCTTCAATATAGTACTGGGGGGGGACAACTGGATGATGAGTATCGATGACACAAGAGTGCCCACCATGAGTCAGTAACAGTGTCACATAAGAGCAGGGTATGTGGAAGTTCATTGTAATAGTCTGTTTCCAAAATGAAGGTTTTTAAAATTTAATAAACTCTAAGTAATCTTTACAATAAACAATTAAAATAATAAAAGAACTGACCCTATCACCCAAGAGAGTAAGAGTTGAAAGAAATTATCTAAATCATTCAGAACATTTCATTGGACTATTCTTACTAATTAGGATGAAATCTCAGTTGGCAACCCCTTAAACACCAGAAAAGTCTTACGTTAAGAAAAACTATTCAAGGAAAATGCAAATGCACAGTTTTCTGTATGTTAACATGATTTAGATAAGAAAAACTACAAGAGTAATAAAAATGTCTCCTTTGGATCATTCTATATAAATAAATATAAGAAGAAATTCAGGAACTGAAGCATAACCATCCAAACTGACATTTAATGAAGTAATTTTTTTAAAAAGTCATACAAACACATGCAGGCACACATACATGTATATATAATAAACCCATTTAATGTTGGATAATTTTTTTTTTTTAAGATTTCTTTATGTGAGAGAGAGAGAGAGTGAGCACGCGAGCAGGGGAGGGACAGAGGGATAGAAAGCGTCTCCAGCAGACTCTTTGCTGAGCCCAGAGCCAGACGTGGGGCTTGATCCCAGGGTTAGGAGATCATGACCTGAGTTGAAATCAAGAGTTGGACACCTAACCAACCGAGCCACCCAGGCGTTCTAATTCTGTATACATTTTTAAAACCTAATTCTTTTACAAGTGAAAATACAGAAAAAAATTTTTTGACCTTATTAAAGGTGAAATTAAATATCAAAATTTGGAAATTTTTAAACTCAAATTCATTATGATTACATAAAGAAATCTAATGATAAACTAAAGAACTTTAATGTCTGTACCTTGAACATAATACCTAAAATTTACTTTGTCTCACTTCACACAAAAAACAAAAACGTTTAGCAGCACGTCTTTTCACAGATAAAAATCTGATTCTCAAACCTCTAGGGTCCTAAGGTAGTAAGAAGAAATGGAACTCTTTTAAAATACTGTATTTGGGGATAATAAAACCAGTATTTCTGGATTTTTAAACATAGCAGTTTTTAAAGATATGATTTGTCCATTCTAAATCCAGGTAATAATAAATTGTACAAAATATGGATCTATTTTGCAGATTTCACATAATTCGTGTTTTTAGCTGATGGGAGAACCCAGGGGCTACAAAGTCTCAAGCACAAAGAAAATCACTTACTAGGATTTTAAAATAGCCACAGAGCAAACTTGCCTTACCTGGCTTAGGAGCCATGTGCATTTTAATTGGATGGGATGGCTCACCAGAGCCCAACTTCTCCTCTATATGTTGTGACTGAATTAATCCCTTAGATTCTTCTTTCTTTGGGCTTTTTCCTTTCTTCTTTTCTTCACTCTCAAAGCTCTCTTTGAGGTCATCACTGAGTGTTTTAAGGTCACACTGTATATCCAATTTATTTATTAACGCAAAGTCACCCGCAACAGTCTCCTCCATGGTGGGCTCCATGGGCTCATCTACAAATCAGAAGAAGTCAAAGTCCATCAGCTAGGCCATCTGACACAGTTAAGATACACATAGGAAAAAAAACAATACCCCCTTTTTCCCATGTGGAAGAGACTACTGTGTATCCATAAAATCCATTCTCCTGGCTTCCAAAGTAACAGAGCTGTAGTTAAGACTGTGGCACCCAAGCAAAGGTATGCACCCCCAGTCCCTCTGCAAGTTGTGACCAAGCTCCCACCAATGGAACATAACCAAACTGATATGCCCAATTTGGCCTCGCTTGTTTTCAAAGGAATTTTGTGACCCTGAACTTCGACCCTTTACCGTCCCCACTGCTGGATTAGTGAAAACCAGAGTGACTGGAAATCACACGTTGAAGGGAGTCCCAGAATGGATGGGGTGGGGGAGTGGGGAACAGAGTTGCAGGCTAACGTGGAACACCCACACTGGACTGTTATATGAGGAAAGAAACAGACTTCTAACATTGTTTAGTCATTGCAGTTTGGTGTCTTTCTATTATAGCTGTTTACCCTTCCACTCTACATCACTCTTATGAATTAAGTTGCAGAAATAAATAATTTAGAAGCCTAAAACAAGTCAAATAGAGAACCAAATGTAAAAGCCATGTGTAACGACAGGTAACCATCAATTTATAAATGGAAGGCACCTTAAAGCTTATCTGAATGTTAATTTTTGAAACTCAGAACATGATTCCCAGCCACTGAAAAATATTTTTGACTAACAAAATTTACTTAGTTTTTAGGATTATGTACAGAAAGTACTAATCAGAGCTGCACCAAAATTCTGATATTTCCAATGCCCAATTGCCCCTGAACCTCTACACCCCTGAGCCTTTCTGCCTCTTTGTTGCCCATAGCTCTGCCAAGTCTGCTTCAGGTTGTCCTGAATCTTGGTCTGTTAAGGACAGTGCATGAAGGCGAAGAACTTACCTGTCCTGCTGGTCACTGTATCACCAGTGCTTAAAACAGGGACTGGTACATTGTGGGCAATGAAAACACACTTGGGGAATATATTAACAAGTTAAAACTGGGATGGAAGGCTTCCAGGATTAGGTATTTTCTATGGCAGAAGTGAGAAACAGCTCTAAGGATAGGTAGCATTCCCAATTATTAAGCTCATGTATTAGGCACTGCCTATATGAAAACTTTTAAAAGGAAAAGACGCTGAAAAAACTGAAAAAGCAAAGTATCTGTAACCAAAGTTCATTAAATATTTCTAATTATCTTGAAGGAAATTGACTCTCGATTCAAAATTTATCACATAAATAAGAAAATTTCGGGCAATATGATTTACTGAAGGGCTTCCTCGAACACAGAAAATCTGAGCTTTACTCATCATTCAAAGTGATTATGCAATCTTATGTAAGGTGCATCTAAGCATCTGTTTCTCAATACCACTTCCCATTTACTTCACAAGGTACTATTAGGATCAAGTAAGATAAGAGTTGTCAAAGTACTGTGAAAACTAAAGTTCCAATAAACTCCAAGACATCACATTATCTTTAAAAACTGTCCTCCATCTTCTTCCGCGGCTAGACTTTCCCTGACAGACATTCCCTATATCCTTGACTTTCGGGCCAGTGGTAATAGTAACAGCAACACTAACAGCAATCCCCACCATCAGAAGAATAGTACTACCTGACTGCAGTAAGGACCCATTCCCCTACTTAAGAAATAACCGAAAATGAAAATCTACATCGATGTAAAGAGTTTTTACACCCCCAACTCATCTTACCCTCACAATTTCCTTTGGAAATTTCCCCTTTAGCCAGAAATTTCAACATTTTTTTCAAAACCTTCTTGTGAGATTTTGACGGCTGAAACTGTAAAGGTCGGCACCTAGGAAAGCAAAATAAATATTTAGAAAGTGAACTCAAACCAGAAGAAATAAAATGAGTTCTGGGCAGTGTCTAGTACAGAAAGGCAAAACTCATGCCCAGGATTTTTGGGTAAAGACAGGGCTTGATGTAGCCTCTAGTCCCACCCCAAATCCCCCTAAAACTACATTAAGGAATTAGAAAAAAAGAAAAAGGCATAAATCACTGAAAAAACAAAAAAGAGGAGAAACGCTAGAAGCTGGGCAGAACATGCACAAGTGGTAACTGACTTAGCAGACCAAAGAATTTTGAATCCTAAACCAACAGTGGGAAAAGCCAAAATGATAACCCATTTTCTCTACATTAACCCTATAAATTTTAGGGATTGATTGATAACTGATACCTCAGGAGATAAGAGTGAAGGTGGTTCCAAAAATAGAAAGATCGCTTGAAAGTCTGTTTTGGAAGCAGTTAGATGTCTGATGCCTCCACCACTCCACACAGGACTCCCTACACAACCCAGGAGAAAGCTCCACATTTAGGAAAGAGTAAAAAATAGGGCCTCCTACATGAGGATGTAGGCACAGCGGAAAGCAATGGAAATGTACTAGAAACAGGAAGCTTAAATGAAAGTCTACATACTGAATGTGGAAACCTCCAACCCATTTCCCAACCCAGCCACAAACATGGGCACTTTCTCTCCAGAATGTGACCAGACCTCGAGATACCTCAGGGACTCCCCCCTGGAAAGTCAGAAGCACTGGACGCTCAAGGAGAACCTCTACAAAGACACTGGAGAGGTAACCTGGAGGATATACAAGAAGAGAGCCTAAAAATACAAATATCCTAAGAAGAACAAGAATATCCTAAGAAGAACATGCTCTTTTTTCTCTTTAGCTATTACAGCCACACGATAATGGGAGGTTACAAAAAAGAGAGGGAGAGAGAGAGAGAGTCCAAAACCAAAAATCTCTCAGAAGTAAAAATATAATAGAAGAAATAAACAATTAAACAGAAGACTCAGAAAACTGAGGAAATTTCCCAAAAGATATTGCAAAAGGGATGGAAAACAAGAGAAAAAAAAAATTAGAGGATCACTGTAAAAGTTCAACATCTGAATGAAGACATTATAAAAGAATAGAAGAAAAAAATGGGGGGAAGAAGATCAACAAAATAATAAAAGAAAATTTCTGTGAAGTGAAGGATATGATGGGAGGAGGCCCCAGGTAAGAAGAGCCCCTTAAGTCCTTAAGCAATGGACGCAGACAGACACACCACCAGACGTGAAATATCAGAACATTGGGGACAAAAAAACCTTTCAAAAGGAAAGAACGTTTTGGACAAAGGAACAAGAATGAGAAGCAAAGCCTTCAAAATTCTAAGGCAAAATTATTTCCAATCTACACTTCTATAGCCCAGCCAAACTAGGTATCTGAGTGGTGAATTAAAACATTTTCAAACAGGGGCACCTGGGTGGCTCAGTTGGATGAGCGTCTGACTGACTCTTGGTTTGGGCTCAGGTCATGATCTCAGGGTCGTGGAGATGGAGCCCCGAGTGAGGCTCTATGCTGAGCATGGAGCCTGCTTGGGATTCTCTCTCTCCCTCTCCCCCTGCCCCCATCCCCGCTCGCACACTATCTCTTTCTCTCTTAAAAAAATTTTTTTTCAAACATACAAAGTCTAGAAAAAGGACTTCAAAAAAAATACACTTTTTCTCAAGAAAGCTATTAGAAGATGAGCTGCACTAAAATGAGGAAATAATCTGAGAGGTCAGAGGAGACAGAAAACATGAGATCCAAAGAGAATCCCCAAGATGGCAGTAAAAAGAGATCCCAGGGTGACAGTGATGCATCAGCTGGAAAGACAACCTGTCCAGATCACAGTAGGTCAGAAGACAACACAGACATATTCATCAAAAGGACACAAGTGATGGAGGACCTGAAGCACCTATAAATACCAAGAGGAAATTTACACAACTGTGGGAGGATTTCTAAAATTGACTGGTGATGGGTACACAGAAGACTATGCAAACAAAAAAGACGATGATCAACTCCATGGAAAGCAAAAACTTGTGAAGGAAAGAAAATGTAATGAACAGTACACTGCATGGCTCGACCACATGGCATATTTATAGGTCATGATACAGCAACTACACCATCCAATGTTAAGATACTTCTGAGCTGGGGAGTTGGCAATGAGGACAAAAAGGAGCTTGAATGTGACAGCGCAACAGGGATGAAATAAAGTTAAATCCTTATCTTTCAAAGAGAGAAATTCAGAGATAATGAGAAAAAATAAAGTTGAATCCTTACCTTTTAAAGAGAGAAACCCAGAGATATGAGAAAAACCCAAAGATAATGAGATAAGGTATTTGTAATTATATGAGCGTGTCACTTAAAGGTAGAAAGAACAAAAAAAAATCAGTTAAAAAATTTGAGAGTGACTGCACTGGGAAAATAGATAGGGAGGTTCAGGGGACTGCAATTTTGCAAAGTAACCTTTATGGAATTGTTTGATTTTTAAATTACTAGCATATATAATTCTATATAAAAATAAAAACTAAAAAACAAAAAAATTCATAGCCAAGGAAGCTCATCCTCATTTATACTCACATACTGGGCAGCCCCTGACATCTAACAAGAAGCTACGTTGTAGGTTATAATCGCCTTGACTTCACATTAGGTCTCATTTTAACTACTGCAGTAAACAAAGTAAAAAAACCCAGAACAGTAAATATGCAAAATGACTCCGTAATATCAATACATGTAATGAAGTTGTGTAAAGGATAATTCAGGAAATGTTTGATTTCATGCAAAAAAAAAAAAAAATCACATTTTATAATTATTTTGTTTTCCAATGTTAATTGAATCTCTTTTCATAAAAGCAATATACCTGGAACAGAGCTTTGCATTGAGAGGCACCCAATAAATTATAGAGGCTTGGTCTTTTTCTTTAACCCACTGAAATTGACTTTTTTTTTTTTTTTAACCTTTTCTGATTAGAAATTCTCAGGGTTCTAGCAAATCAGCTGCAGACTTATTTAAACAAAATCTGGGCCATAATCCAATAACAAACTGTTACTTGAAGGAAAAGGACTTCTGCCTCTGAGGATGTCACTGCTTCATAAACACGAAAACTGCAAGAGGACCGGATAGCTGCCTTAGTGTTAGTGAGATGACTTCAGTAAACCAGACACCCATCCTTTCTCTTTATTGTTCCAGTCCTATGACCAGTTAGATAAAAGAAAGGATTCTTAACCAGGAATCAGTGGAACTGTGAGAGCCCGCTGGGAGTCCAAGATCATCCTAAAATTAGTATGCAAATGTTACATATTTTTGCCTATATGCCCCCTCCCTTTTGTTTGGCTGCAGAAAGGGTCTGTAACTTTTCATCAGATTGTCAAGTCTTCAATCCCAAAACAAATTAAGAGCAACTAAGAGAGGGCGCCTGGGTGGCTCAGTCGGTTGGGAGACTGCCTTCGGCTCAGGTCCTGATCCCGGAGTCCCGGGGTCGAGTCCCGCATCGGGCTCCCTGCTCGGCGGGGAGTCTGCTTCTCCCTCCGACCCTCTTCCCTCTCGTGCTCTCTCTCTCTCATTCTCTCTCAAATAAATAAATAAAATCTTAAAAAAAAAAAAAAAGAGCAACTAAGAGAAAGAGGTGTGAAGGCCAGCCAAAACATGATGGATACAACTGTGTTTGCTTTTTTATCTAGAGAATATACTCATATTGAAACTGTAGACAAATGCTTCATAATGGCAACATACTTGCCCTAGACTCTACCAGAAGAGGAAGGCAAGGACCAGGGGGAAAAGGAGGATCTGTCTAATCTGAAAAGGGAAAACCCTTCCATGTTATATCGGGGTTTGCTGGTCAAGCAAACACTTTGTCGGAAAACAGACTTTTTAGTTTAAGTTTTCCGATGAAGAAAACTGGACTCTCAATATATGTGGCAGATTAAATGTCAGCCCTCCCCCTCCTCTTCCTACAGATCCTATAGTGCTGTCTGAATGTGAGTACTGTGTTCAGTAATACACTAGAATCTGGAAATCCCCAAGCTCAATTCTACAAAACATTTGATACCTAAAGGTAATTCGAGTATTTTCTAATATTCTCACAATATGTCATATCATTGATTAGACTGCTAAACAGTATACTTTTTCATATCCTACTTACACCCAAACCATTAAACAGTATTATTAAAAGCTACTGATGATGTATAAATGTAGCATCAGTTTGTAGAAAACATATAACTCATTTGCTCTTCTTTATAAAGAGTCTAGCTAGAATGAAAATTAACATGTAAAAAAAGCAAGATGTCACTGAAGAATTATACATACTCCTCAAATTTATATATACCTCCTCTTTCTTACCTTATCGTGTACTGAGGGCAACATGTTTGATTCATGACAGGCTTGTACACATATTTCCCGCTTCTAAAATTAAAAAGTAGTTTTGTGAATGTCTTACACATTTCTCACATGTACTAAAGTAGACCAGTACAGGAGTACAAAATTAATTAGAGTAAAAATCTAACCAACAACACAAACACATTTAGTTACTCTTCATGACCTAAATAATCTTGCAACATAGACACACCAAGGACGGAGTCCAGCCTTTTCTTTCCTAAACCCTGATACATGTACTCCAAACCTCTTCACCCCCATCACCCGCTCAGCAGCACCTCCAATCCTTCCATGCCTCAGCCCACCACCAATCCTCAACACCATAAAGGCAATCAGAGGAAATCGCTCAGGATGAGGTGACAATGATGGGAGCCACAACCTACGATACGCACAGATGAGGGTTCCATGTGTAGTGGCACAAGGTAGCCCAAAATTAACCTGATGCTTTCAATGCTTTCTGGATCTCAGTTAGTGGCAGAGCCATGACATTATGGATTGAATCGTGTCCCCTCAAAATTTGTACTTTGAAGCCCTAACCCCCAGTACCTCAGGATGGAACTGTAGTTAGAGACAAGGCCTTTAAAGAGGTGTCTAAGTTAAAATGGCAGTTAAGATGAGCCCTAACCCAATCTGAATGCTGTGCATATAAGAAAAGGAAACTGGGGGCACCTGGGTGGCTCCGTCGGTTAAGCATCTGCCTTCAGCTCAGGTCATGATCCTGGGGTCCTGGGACTGAGCCCCACATCGGGCTCCCTCCTTGGCGGGGAGTCTGCTTGTCCCTCTCCCTCTGCCTCTCCCCACCCCCCACTTATACTCTCTCAAAAAAATAAATAAAATCTTTAAAAAAAAAAAAAGAAGAAGAAGAAGAAGAAAAGGAAACTGGAAATACAAAGAGACACTAGGCACTAGGGATATATATACAAAGAGAAAGGACCACGTGAGGCCACAGCAAGAAGACAGCAGCAATGTACAAGCCAAGGAAGGGTCTTCAGAAAAAAATAAAGCTGCAGACACCAGGATTTTGGAAATTTCAGCCTCCAGTACTGTGAGAATATAGAGTCCTGTTGTTTAAGATACCCAGTCGGTGGTATTTTGTTATGGCTGCCCAAGTAAACATACATGAGCTCGGTTCCTGAGTCAGAAACCTGGGAGTCAGCTCAGATTCCTCCCTCTAAAGGACCTCTATATCCAGTCAGCAAGCTTTCTACTTCTAAAATGTACCACCTATGTCTGTCCCCTCCCATCTATCTCCTAACCTATAGCCACTGATGGTGACAGCATTGTCATGAGATGACCGTCTCACATCCGGACCCTGCAGGGATCTCCGGAACGAGTCTTCCTGCCTCTGCAATCACCCCCTCAAACGCCTCTCTGCTGTCTGAATGATCGTTTCCAAAACACAAATTCCATCTCAATTCCGACATAACAGCTTTCGATGGCTCCCCTCCACCTTTTAAAAAAGAAGTTCATCATGGCATACAAAATCCTTCAACATCCGACCTAGATCTACCTTTTGGGTCTCATTATTAAGTTTAAGAAAAGGTGTGAAGTTTTATTATGCTGTGCTCAATCCCATGTCTTTTGGGGAGTATTGGCAGAGAGCATTTAGCACTGTTTATATTTACATAAGGAACTTTATATATTCTAAAATCATCTATAAAAAGGTAATTACCAAAAAACTTAGCCATCAAAGGCAAAGTGTGGACCTTAATGGAATCCTGACTCAAATAAACCAAGTATAAAAAAAAAAGGACATTTCTGAGACAAGCAAAAAATCTAATCAAACTAAGTAACCAATGACATCAAAGAATTATTGTGTAAAAGATGATAATGGTATTGTAGATACGTTAAAAAGGAAAAAAGAATCCTTTCTTAGAAACATATATTTATTACAGGTATACTAAGAGGATACCTGAAATTGCTTTAAATTATTTTGTGGGGGAGGAGGGAACATCTTAGTTTCTTCAAGCTAATGTAACAATATGCCAAAGACTGAGTGGCTTATAAACAACACAAATGTATTCCTCATAGTTCTGGAGGCTGGGAAGTCTAAGACCAAGGTGCTGGCACATTCTATGTCTGGTAAAGATAAGCTTCCTGGTTCATATTTTTGTTGTAACCTCACATGGCAGAAGGGGCAAGGGAGCTCTCGGGGATATCTTTTACAAGGGCACCAATCCCATTTGTGAGGACTCCACCCTCTGACCTAATCACCTCCCAAAGGCCCACCTCCAAATACCATAAAATTGGGGAAGGGAGTGAGAATGATACACGCACATTCACTCCATTGCAGGGAGCAAGGAGAACTGATGCAACAAGATTGGCAAAATGTTAACTGTTAATGTGTACCTAGCCTGCCGATAGGTACATAAGATTCATTATACCATACTCTCTACATTTATGTGTATTTGAAGTTCTCCTAATAAACATCTTTAAAAGGAGAGAGAAAAGAATCACTACACAAAGAAATACAATAAAAAAATTTCTTAAACCTCTTTCTAAAAACAGGAAAACATTTTAAAGGCAAACAATATTTTGCAATTATAAGAAGAACCTCAGTAACAAGAGAAGTGTCTTTGTATCAAAGAACTTTACCTTCGCCATCCTCGATCTATAAGATCCTGATAATCCTGTACTGTCATTGAATGTGCCCACATGCCTGAAAAAATAAGTGCCATGTGCCATGTTAATTATAGCAGGTTGAACTTTTTTTTTTAATTCAAAGCATTCTTTTAATGTGAATACTGAAGCAAAAAAAAAATCTGGAGAAATGAAAGTTTGCACATACTTCATACTTGTTCGACATAACATACAACACCGATGGAAAAGATATTTATCTTCATTTTAAAAATCAAACACATCTAAGTGATTATATTTAATTCAGGATTAGCCAATAGTCTCTATGGCATCATATATTTAAGGTCCTTACTGTGATCAGATTATATCACACTTTTAAGCCATAATAATATCCCCTATAATTTAATAAGCTAGTCTCTTCAAAAGAATTGAAAAGCAAATGTTTTCTGATGCATATAAATTTTCCTGATTTTTATGTTTTTAGCATAGTCTTGGATATTGAAAATAGAACAAAAGCATACAGCAATATTCCTTTTAAGTATAAAAACTGAAAGAAATCGAAATGCCCAGGGACAGAAAAGTGATTACAGGGACTATGATATTATCCATATGATGGAATAATTATGCAACCATGAAAAAAATGAAGACTATGAGAAAACATTAAAAGGTATATTTGAATTAATGTTAAAAGAAAAGTAATTTTTTCTCTTGTAAACAGCAAACTGCATCAGAGGTATGCAGACAGAAGTAGGTTTGATAGTACAAGATGTATTCAGAAACACAAATGTCCAGAAGCCTGGCAGGCGCTCATTAACACTGAGTTATTTTATTAGCCTCAAATTCATCACCTATAAGATAGGAATAATAAAACCTACCTAATAGCTGGGGTGCCGTATGGTAAAGATGATCAGAATTAAAATATATATAATAGAAATTTACAGTTCTCTCTTTAGGTGAAAAGGGTAAAAGCAGGTTTCTTCCACAGGACTTTAAACAAAGGACATCTATATTAAACAATTTCCTCTTACTAAAATTACTGGGGAGGGGCGCCTGGGGTGGCTCAGTCATTAAACGTCTTCCTTTGGCTCGGGTCATGATGCCAGGGTCCTGGGATCAAGCCCCACATCGGGCTCCCTGCTCTGCGGGAAGCCTGCTTCTCCCTCTCCCCACTCGCCCTGCTTGTGTTCCCTCTCTCGCTATATCTCTCTGTCAGATAATAAAATCTTTAAATAAATAAATAAATAAATAAATAAAATTACTGGGGAAATAATTAAGGATCTATAAAAATATTCACTTTAGACACCTTTAGTAGAAAGTGCTTATAACACACAGAATGGAGTCACAATACTAAAATTCTGAAAAAGGGAGGTATCTCTAATACCCTAAGGCATCCACTGTCACCAGCTGGTGTGTTTTTCCTGGGTTTTTATCCTCCCAGAACTGTGATCATGTCACGTGCGTCATTTGCATCCTGTTTTTCTCTGTTCAACCCTACACTGTAAACATTTTTCTGTTAGCTCATCTTCATAACCATCACTCCTAATGGCTGCATTATATCACATTCTGCTCCCTCTTACCTACAAGCACCTAATAAACAATTTCAATTAATGAGTATATGGACATACCATAATCGTCCAAATCATTCCCCTGCTGTAGGGCATTTATATTTTTCTTAAATGGAAACTACGTGAATTTGTATCTTCATGGTTATCCCATTTTCCACAATGCTGGACTATTCCTTAAAATAAAAGATTTTATATCTGCCAATGCATGACACAGCAGGAAATAAACATAATGTTTTGTTTACAAAAAACAAGTCTTCCGAAATAAACCTGAACCATGACGGGGGGGGGGGTGCTGTAAACTGGCTTTGTTGTTGTTCTGGAGGTGGGTGGAGGAACCACAAGGCATATAAGCACCTGGTAAAATTTTCAAACACATTAGTACAAACAGGCTCCCTCGCCAGCAGCGCCTGTGGTCGGTCACCAGTGTCTTGTATACTCTTCCAGACATTTTATCCAGATGCCCATGCCCACATATGCACACACACATCTTTCTACACAAATAGCCCACCCGACACGCCGCATTCTACAATTAAAATCGGGGAGGATCCCACATCAGCATCAGCACTTGAGAGGCCGGCCCCAGCGGAACTGACCGCACTACAATGCTCCCTGGCACGGCATGCTGTCACATATTTAACCGTCTCCTACTGACTGAAGACGAAGACGGAGCCGGACACGTTTCCACACTTTGGGCCACGGCGAGACAATCATTATCTAGCACGTCCGAGCACCTGCGTGAAGGATAAGCACCTAGATGCTTCCCTGATGAATCAGAGCTGAAGTCCATTTTTAATTGACAGCCACAGCCCAAACCGGCGAGTCGCGTTCTGCACACCCGCCTCGGGACAGGACCTGGCCGGGGGCTCCTGCCGCCGCGCGTCGCTCGAGCCGGTCGGCCCGGGCCAGGGCGCCGCGACCCTCGAGGACGCCCGCCGGCCACGGAGCCCCCGAGGCCGCGACGCCCTCCCCCGCCCGCCGGCCCGCTCACCATTGGAGCGACTGCCCGACTCATTCTTGCAATAGCCGCAGCGGTAGGAGTCCTCGCCCTCGAAATACTCCACGATGCTGGGCGAAAGAGCAGCCCAGGAAGCCATGGCCCCCGCCCTCCAAACGCAACGCGACCCAGCCCAGCCCCGCCGCCGTCGCCGCCACCCCACAATGCTCCGCGCCGCCTGGGAGTCCCCCGAGGCGCGCGCGAAGCTGCTCGGGCGCCCGCAGGCCGGGTTCGCCAGGGGTCCCGCACGCTGACGCCGCCCGCGCCATCTTGACCGAGGGCAGCCTTCCGCTATTTCCGTGCCTTCTCTGACCGGGACCGCCATCTTCGGTGAGGGTGAGGAGGAGAGAGGAGCGTGAAGGGAAATAGTCTGGGGAGAAACGTCTGGGAGAGGGGAGTGGGAGTTTGGGGAGCCGGGCCTGTGAGCTCCCAGGCGAGGGGCTGGCGCGGGGCGCGGCTGGCGGTGCGGGGGTCAGACGCCAGGCGGCCGCGCCAGCCCCGTCTGTGGGGACACTCACCGCAGGACACCTTGCCCTCCTCGGAGTCGCAGTAGCCGCAGTGGTATCCAGCCTTGAGCCCCTTGTATTCCACCACCGAGGCCATGGCTGCCTCCAGGGTCCGCCGGGGCCAACCACGCCTCTCGGCGTCCTGGGGCCAACCTTGGCGGAGCGCGGGGGCCCGCGGCGGGAGGGGAGGAGGACGAAGCCTGGGGGGTGCGTCCCAGCGCCGCGCCCCGCGCCCCTGGCTATTCCTCAGGCTCCGGGTTCCTGCTGGTGCAGAGGCCTGCAGGAGACCTTAACGAGGGTGGTAGTCGTGCCCCCGGGCCCCGAGTTAGGGCCATCCCTTGGCGTGGTTAGGGCCAGCCCTTGGCGTAATTCCTCGCCAAGCATTTCTACAATCGCTCATTGTCTGCGCCGTTTTACAGATGAGGAAACTGAGGCACGGAGGTTGTGACTCAGTCATTTCCTGCAGGTTTCAGTATAAAAGTTACTATCTCGGGCCGTCCCTGACGGCCATCTGGGTAGCCAGCTCAGGTTTCTTCCAGACCAGCACGTCCACTCTTCAGTGCCATATACGGGTACACATGCAGGTGTTCTGTGAATGGCGGGCGTAGGTGAATTGAACGCTTAAAATGTTTTTAAAGCAAACAACTTTCAGAGCTAGTAGCCAACTTGTGCCACTGTAAGCCTATTGCCAGCACATCGTATAACTGAAAGAGAAGATGAAAATCTTGATTTTTTTAATGTACAATTTTTTAATGTTATTTTTAAAGTTTTTTTAACTGTAAAAAACTTTTTATTTTTTATTTTTTAATTTTTTATTGTTATGTTAATCACCATACATTACATCATTAGTTTTTGATGCAGTGTTCCATGATTCATTGTTTGTGCATAACACCCAGTGCTCCACGCAGAATGTGCCCTCTTTAATACCCATCACCAGGCCAACCATCCCCCCACCCCCCTCCCCTCTAGAACCCTCAGTTTGTTTCTCAGAGTCCATCCTCTCGTGGTTCGTCTCCCACTCCGACTTACCCTCCTTCATTCTTCCCCTCCTGCTATCTTCTTCTTTTTTTTTTGTTCTTAACATATATTGCATTATTTGGTTCAGAGGTACATATCTGTGATTCAACAGTCTTGCACAATTCACAGCGCTCACCATAGCACATACCCTCCCCAATGTCTATCACCCAGCCACCCCATCCCTCCCACCCCCACCACTCCAGCAACCCTCAGTTTGTTTCCTGAGATTAAGAATTCCTCATATCAGTGAGGTCATATGATACCTGTCTTTCTCTGATTGACTTATTTCACTCAGCATAACACCCTCCAGTTCCATCCACGTCGTTGCAAATGGCAAGATCTCATTCCTTTTGATGGCTGCATAATATTCCATTGTGTATATATACTACATCTTCTTTATCCATTCATCTGTCGATGGACATCTTGGCTCTTTCCACAGTTTGGCTATTGTGGACATTGCTGCTATAAACATTGGGGTGTACGTACCCCTTCGGATCCCTACATTTGTATCTTTGTGGTAAACACCCAGTAGTGCAATTGCTGGATCGTATGGTAGCTCTATTTTCAACTGTTTGAGGAACCTCCATACTGTTTTCCAGAGGGGTTGCACCAACTGCAACCCCTATTTTAAAGAGGATTTTTTTAGGGAGTAACAGTCTGGAGCAAAGTATAAAAATCAGTACCGCCAACAAGGTAATATTCCTTAATCTTTAGGTGCATAGATAATTTAAGGTTGTCTTTATATTTTTCCTCATCAACAGTAAAGCTGATTATCTTTTTGCAGTGTTTTAAAAAGTGAAATCATGAAACTTGGAGAAACAGGTAAACTTTTGAGGTCAGTTTTAACATTCTTGACCCCCAAGGTCCACTATGTTGGATGCATGCCTGCTTAAGTTGAAGAGGTTTTTTGGTAGCCCCGTGACCTGTTATATTACTAAGCATCACTTGTGCCTCACACAGTGGGAAAAAACCTAAGGAATAGCTGTGTAGCATGTAGGAGGTTCTCAGGGCCCCTCTAGGTTTCTCCAGTTCCTCCTCAAACTTGAAGGTTCCTTGCTATATATCAGTACCCATTAAGACAGACTTCATTCATTTTTTCCATTATGGCAGATTTGAATATTCCTGGTCCTTTCCCAGAGGCTCTCATTTTGGAGGAACGTAAAGCCCTGTGGAATGAAACAAAGACAGCAGATGCCATGCTCAGACATAAAGTAGGAGGCCAGGAGTCTTTTTGCTTTTATTATAGTCCTGTACCGATTCACTTCTGTCCCTTTGTCCCAAACTTAGCCCAAGCCTTAGACCAACCTCTGCAAGGGAATGCCAGCCTAGAGCTATTATGTCAATGTCCTAGGCATATGTATCCTTAGAGCAACTTCACAACATAGGAAACGAAGACCGGAGAGGCTAAATAACCTACACAAGATCACACAACTAGTAAGAGACGTAAGAGAGTATGTGTGGAGGGCAGGGAAAGACCAAAGGTAGAGGCTGGTCACTCCAGGTTGGTAGGTGGCAGTTTTTTGTTTGTTTTTAGGATTTATTTATTTTACAGAGAGAGTGCGCAAGCATACATGCGAGAGGGGAAGGGGTAGAGGGAGAGAATATCCAAGCAGATTCCCACTGAGCGTGGAGCGCGACGTGGGTCTCCATTTCACAAGCCGTAAAATCAGGACCTGAGCTAAAACCGAGAGTCCGATGCTTAGCCTACTGAGCCACCCAGGTGCCCCCGTTAGTGGAAGTCTTAATAAGCGAAGGGAACGTAGGTATGAGGCTTGTCTTGGGCAGCAGCAAGATGAGTGTATCCCCACACAGCCATACTATCCGCCGCTGTTGAGTACTTGAATCTTAAAAGTTTGTATAGTGGGGCTCCTGGGTGGCTCAGTTGTTTGAGTGTCTGCTTTTGGCTCAGGTCATGATCCCAGGGTCCTGGGATCAAGCCCTGCATCGGGCTCCCTGCTCAGTGGGGAGCTTGCTTCTCCCTCTCCTTCCCGCTCCTGCTCTCTCTCTCTCGCTATCTCTGTCTCTCTCTCAAATAAATAAAATCTTAAAAAAAAAAAAAAGTTTATGTAGAGAGAGGCCTTAACTGGGTCCAGTCAAGTGTACTGTGCAGGTGTTCTCACCATCACATCATTATGTCAAGGCACTATCCTTGCAGCAACCTCTGGGAGTGGAAGAGGCAAGTGGGACCCACATTCCAAGGACAGGGGAGGAGGCGAGGAGCCTCTGATCACCTGGGTCCAGCTCATGGGTCAACTGGTGGTCACATCTTTTCAATGACCTTCCACAACAGAGGGAGAAAGGTGATAAAAATAAAATTGTGGAAAAGAGATCAACAAAGACCACAGGGCAGTGGTTCCTAGATGTCTTTATTTTGCTGAAATTTAGAGACAGTAAGTTTTCATCTTCCAGGCCTAAATGAGAAAAATAAAGCAGAGCTTCAGTTTCCCCCTTTTTGTGTACAGACATGGGAAGAGGACATTATTAGAATGTTCTTTTATTCATGAAATTGCCAGCAATAGATAGTTGTCTTTACTTTTAATTTCTTACTTAATGAAATGAAATGCTGGCAACACTAGCATGTGTGTGTTTTTTATATTACTGAGTGTGATATCAAGTCTGCAAAGCTGAGTGAAACTCAGTACAAGGCCCTGATGATGGGAAGGAATCTGCATGGGATAGGCCTAATTCATGTCCCTTAAAGGGAATGATGTGAAACACATTTCATTTTTTCTTCTGAAAAAAGTGTTTGAGTTGGGGCCTAAGTTAAGTCAGGGAAAAAAGAGTAAAATACAGAAAACCTGAGGCAGAGAAGAGGGGCATTCTAGGAAGGGGGTGTGGCATGAGCAGAGAGACAGGGAGTTGGATAGAAACAGGAGGGGTCTCAGGTGCTGGTGATGGTGGAGTCCTAGAAGATGCTTTCCTTGTGGGCCATTCACTGCCAAGATGCCTCAGATTTGACTTTTCCCTCCCAACATGTAAATATGTGCTCTCCAAATTGGTAGTGTAAAAATTAATAAGAGAAACCTCATTTAGAATGAGAGTGAGAGAGCTCTCATGCCCTTATCATTAATTGCAGACCCAACAGTAAGAAACATCTTGCAGGATGGATACTATTTTACTACCCAGCAGGAGGAAGAAAGTTCTTTCTCTTCCCCTGGCGACAACCCAGCCAATCCACTCTACTTCAAAACTCCAAAGGACTTTTTGTTTATTACCACCCTCCTAAATGCCTCCTTTCCTCTATAAAACAGGGTTCCTCTCCTTTGTTTTCTGGACTAGCCTGTGGTTTTGCTGTGGCTTGCTTATCCAAGATTGCAGTTCTCTGCTATCCTCAAATAAACCCATTTTTTGCTAGGAAAATAACTGACAGTTTTATTTTTAAGTTTAACAGTAGCTACTAGCCACTCATGGCTATTGAGTACCTAAAATACGCCTTGTGAAGCAGGGGAACTGAGCTTTTTATTTTAACTTATTTAAATTTATTTGAATTTTTAAATTATAGTGGTGTAAAACATGAGGCAGGATAAATGCCAAAAATGTAAGCATAATCATATTCAAAATGTATAAAATCAAAGACAAGCAAAACTCGAAAAAGCCAGAGGAAAGAAAACCCTTACTAATAGAGGGGCAAGAATAAGAATTACATTGGACTTTTCTTTGGAAAGCATGCAATCAAGAAGAGAGTGAAGTGA